ACCATATCGGTGACCTATCAGATTCTACCTCGGTGACTTTCGGTGCTGTCTACCTCCCCCCACCTCTTCGTCTCTCCTTCCCCATTCATCTGTGTATGTGTGTACGGGGCTGAGCATCTTCTATGTATGGCTCGGACCCCACCATCTCACGATTGAATGTGTGTGGAGTGATGCTATGTGAGTCAGTCTATGTGAGTCAGTCTATGTGAGTCAGTCCGTTTATCAGACTTCCGTTGCATCTATACTCATCCTACATTGGTTGATTCATGGTTCTGCCCATACTCATTGGAGTATGCAACACAAAGACTTGGTGTTGACGACATTCCCATCTCTCCCCCTCTTCTTCGTCTGATCCCCTCCTCTTCGTCTGTGTATGTCTGGACCTGGTGCTTCCTTCCTGTGTACAGCGCCAGACTCCTTCACACCTTGTGATGGACACGATGTATGTTTGGTCTGTGTTCAAACATTGGTTGGGCTAGTCATTAGCGTCCTAGCATTCTGCTTCGCTATCTTATACTACGTGAATGAGGTCAGTCCCAGTCAGGTCAGGATTTGTATCTAAGTCTTCCCTGCGCTATTCAGCACCATTTTGTATGTATCAGAATGGACATTGCTTGTTGAGATTCTACTTGCACTGCATTGTACATTCAGTCCTTTTTATCACATTGTGGATCCTCGGTTAATATGTACATCGCCTATCTGGGCATGTAACACTGGTCTGGAATTTTAATTTGATTCTGCGGGGATGGTTGCTTGGCCTGTTTTTGAACTGCATTGTGTAGGAAATGTTTTTTGCAACCACCCCCAGCCTTTAACACCCATGAACTTGCCGAATCTTGATGGTTGTGAGTGCAATTTTGTGCCAGGATAACTCTAAGCATAAACTAAATGCCACATAAAAGTTGCTCTAAATTGCTGATGAACAAACAGAAGAAAAACCCTTTTTCTGTTGTTTTTTCTTGCCAATACAGTCCCATACATTCCAGTCAACTGTGGACATTGGTTAAGGGTTTGAATGGTTGAATAAACAGGAATCCTTATCCTCGGTTCAATCACTGTACTATTTCCAGATATTGAGTCACTTGAATCAGTTCTGGAAATGATTGCATTCGGTGATGTGGAGGCTGAGGACACAAGACACTTCTGTGAGGTCAATTTCACAAAACTATTCCGAATAGCACAAATGCTGGTAAGCTTGGTGAACGTGAACCTCATTGACTACTACATCATTGTCAGAGTTGCTATCATGCCCACTAAAAACCACTTGGACCCTTGCAATGGATTTTTTCGAGGGTCCACTCACCCTAGGTGGCTTACCTGGATGTTTCTGACGGTCATTTCTGGCAAAAAGATCCCTAGGGTTATTATCCCCAGTGTTCTCGAGATGTATGTGCCTGTGTTTTTGTTTTCAGAAATTTCAGCATCTAGGCTATGATATTGACCCTGTTGGGCAACCGCCCCATTGCCCAGGAAACCTGTGATGTGACATCAGATATTCTTCTTCTTCTGCTTCTTCTTCTTCTTCTTCTTCTTCTTCTTCTTCTTCTTCTTCTATCTCCTCCTCCTCTTCCTCCTCCCGCTCTTCTTCTTTTTCTTCTTCTTCTTCTTCTTCTTCTTCTTCTTCTTCTTCCTCTTCTTCTTCTTCTTCTTCGTTGTCGTCGTCATCGTCTTCTATCTCCTCCTCCTCCTCCTCTTCATCCTCTCACTCTGCTTCTTCTTCTTCTTCTTCTTTTCTTCTTCTTCTTCTTCTTCTTCTTCTTCTTCTTCTTCTTCTTCTTCTTCTTCTTCTTCTTCTCCTTCTTCCTTCCCCTCCCCCTCCTCTTTCTCCTCCCCCTCTTCTTCTTCTTCTTCTTTGATATTCTGTATGTGAAGGGGTGGTTCTGTGCTTTGGAAAATTGTGCAGAGTTTCTCCTTTTATAATTATCTTAAGCTGGGGGAGAAGGGAGAGTCGTGTAGGGTGGGTCTGATCAGTTGAGAAGAGGGGTGTTGAGACTTTCAGAGCAGCTGAGAAATCCTATTCTTCTTCAAGAAAACTGCACTGGAGAAACTCAAGGTGCAAGCACAATGAATTCTTGTAAACGGCATGCATATGGTGGCCAGGCTAGTAGCAGAAAGCAATGATCACACCAGCACAGGATTGACAATGTTGAAGCCTGTTGATCATGTGATGCACACTCATCTGAAGATGAGTGCTGCACAAGACGGAAGGAACGCCAATGTGATGAGAAAACTCAGAATACTCAATGCAAACTTTGATACGCAAGAACCAGCAATGTGAATCCCGATAAGAAACAGATTGATGCAATGTAGCACAGCGGAAGACTCAAGGATATGACCTGACACATCAGACCAGACTCAGCTGACTCGACTCACACAAACATCATCACAAGTCACACAACAAGGAGGGGAGCATACACAGAAGAAAGGTCCCTCCTTGTGCACACACATGAAGACGAAGGAGGAGAAGAGACGGAGGATGGAGAGGGGAGAGAAGGCAAGAGCAGAACTCACAGTCGTCCAAAAGAGTCTCCCCGTCACATGTCCAGCCAATGTCTGTCCTCAAAATGTTGAATCCGATCCTTGGCGCTCAAGGCCCTGAAATGGTCACTGCCTGAAATCTCTCTCTCTCTCTCTCTCTCTCTCTCTCTCTCTCTCTCTCTCTCTCTCTCTCTCTCTCT